CATCAAATGATAAAGAGTAAAAGAAATAGCAGTTTTAGTGTTTCTCACCTGACAGCGATTTTTGTATTCTTCTGGAAGTTCTTCTGCAGCTAACAGTGCATCAAGCATACCGAAATAAACCTGTATAGTTTCAGAAAGAAACGAAAAAAAAAAAGTTAAGTGAATAATATGATACGATTTGTAGATTACGCTCTGAGGGAGGGGGATCTTCTTACCGCCATATCTCCTAATGATTTTCCACAGATTGGACATGTGTAGTGGCTGCAAGTGTAAGCCTGAAAGACCGGAAGAAAAAAAAATGTTTTGATTTAAGGCGGTTAAAGTGAACTTTAAGTTTAATGAGAGAAGGGGATATTTGCAAACCTGGAAGCAAGCTGAGTGCATGTAGTGACCACATGGTAAGGCTCTGACTGTTTCACTCGATGTGAAAAGAAATTCACAACAGATGGGGCAATTTGTCTCGAGGCTCTTCTCAAGGCACTTGTGGTTTACTAACTTCATCCCCAGGCAACAGTTACATGTCATGCAATGGAAATAATCGATTCCCAGTCCCTCCCCGACCCGGCAAAGGTTGCAGAATGGACAGTGGTAAACAGATCTAAAGGCAGATCACAGTTTCTGAAGGTTAGAACAGCTTCTGAAGTTTGATTATTTGACAGAGTGTAAATTGATTCATGCATTATACTGTTGGATTTTGCTTACTTTTCATCATCGAAAAGTTTGCAAATACTGCAATAATGCTTCGCCATTGGGAATCCGTCGCATGAAGGCGTTGTGCAGATGGGGCCAACAGGTTGAACCTTGAGGCACCGCATGCAGAGCATTTCCGTCACCAGTTTTCTGTAAAGTGTTTTGGATATAGAATCATATCATTCAGATAGAAAAACAAAGAGTAGTAATTTAAGTAGGGGAGATTGACATCAATTCTTACCTCTGCATGGAGTGATCGCTCACTTTGTCATGGCAAAATCTACAAGTGAACAGCTGATCACAACAAGCAGCCCGAAGCTTGCAGTTACGCTTGTAATGTTCGCATCCATATATCTGCTTCTCGGGATCTCGAAAAGATGGGGAACATCCAAGTGCAACATCACCATTTAATGCAGTTTCTGTTTCCTTAGGTTGCTTTTGCTGAGCAGCTATCCATCGACTGATAAAAGCACCAACAGCCAAAGTTTAAAATGAATATTATTCTAGAACAAAAATGATCTGTGTATGAGAGGGCAATGTGAATGAGATTATAAGTTCGCTATTGTTCAGAAGATTGTGCAGTCAAGGACACACACATATATATATGTACACACATGGGTAAATAAACTGAGCAGATCGTATCAGCTTGGGAAACCGGGAAAGACAGGAGAACCCTCAAATACTCTTCCACTTTGTAATTTTTTTTCTCAAGTAATACAGGGGACTGTATTATTGATTTNGGTTTCAAAGTTTAAGTCAGGTATGCATAAAAATGTGGAATAGAGTATCCATGCAGTGAAATATTGAAAGAAATCTGACCTGGTTCTCCAATTTTGAACAAGATAATCTTTTCTCCTTGGATCAAGTGTTGTGTCCTGATAGACTTTCCTAATTTCAGCCTCTAGCTCGTTCTGATTCATGCGGAAAATATCTTTCCACCCCGGCTTAAATAGTTGGCCAGTTTGGTCTAAGATTTCTTGATGATCAGTATCTATATGGAAAATAAACTCGACATAAGCAAACCATATTTAGCAGAGAGAAACTACAGTAGCCAACCAAAGTATGAGTTATGAAGTCCAGAGCAAAAAATATCTAAGGTGTACATAAAACCAGCTAGATACTAAGTTGGTGAAAAATAGTTAGGAAATTGCTTTTACCTCTTTGTAGACTAGGTTTGGATGTTTCTTGTGAGGATGAGTCGGGTGATCCTTTCCAGCATTCGTTGAGCCATTCATCAAACATTGTGTTCTTGGTTGCCTGCTTCCAGGTATCCATCATTCTATTTTGCTCATCTTCAGAAAGGGCGGATGTCACCCATGGTAACATAGATTGAAGAACTTCAGCACCCGTTGTCCCGATTATACGACCCACAATCTTGTCTTGCTCTTGAATAGAAAAGTGTTTGTCAAATAGAGGCCAGAGCTCCAGTTCCTCCAAGAAAATATGCTGATCCAATGTGATTTTAATGGATTTGCACATCCCTTGTAGCTTTGTAGCCAGTTCGTTGTACTTCTTCTTGCAGTCACCGTTATCAATTTCAGTCTGAACAGTGTCGGTTTGAGCTATGTCCCCCATCATAGAATCAGTCTGTAACTTCTCATGAAGAACTGACAGTTCAGTAAGAACACTATAAATATCTCCAAACAGCTTCTCCTCCTGTTTATGGTCGAGCGTGTAAGAGTGGCTGACATTGTGAAGCGTCTCCTTTGATTCCAGAGCTGGAAATAGGATATCATCTTCTGCATTACTATGAGCCTTGTAGAAACCCCAGAGCAAGTGAAATCGACCAATGAATTGACGAATAAACGTTTCATCACAATCAATGAGCTTTCCAGATTCAACATCAAGAAACTCCAGATCTTTGCTTATGGCCTTGTGAAACTTGAATATTGTAGCAACCGGTCGCTCAGCATGTCCAGTACCAAAGCTGTTGCTATCCATTTCCCAAACAAAGAGGCTGGAATTAAGAGCGGGTGCAGCAGAGTTTAGAGAAGAAGATCTCATAGCTTTAGCTGCTGGAAGAGAACCAAGTCCCAGACAATTACTGTTAACTCCAAGATCCGGAACGCAGCATGACCTTCCATTTCCAGATGGCTGGCACCCATTTGCGACTTCTGACGAGTGAGGGGTGGTGGGATTTTTTTCACAAGACAATACAGCGGTTCGCTTAGCTGGCCTTTTATCCTGATGCTGGCAACACAATTCTATACTCCTACTCGAGCATGGCACAGACACACAAGCATGACATGACTGAAGGCAGACTTCTTCAATGTTGTTTAGTGTTTTACCAGGGCATAAACCATTCCCGTTTGGAGACAAGCATTCCCCGGCTTTGCGCCCTTTGCATGCCCAACCAGAGAAAAGAGTAACGAGAGCAGCATCTGATTTAGGTGCTGAGGCCACAAAGAGACCATGTAATCATGCAAGATTGTGAGTAGCTAATTATTTTTCAAAAAAGGTTTAAAGTTTCATCAAAAATGCAAACAGTAGAATTTACCTCCAGCTTGCATGTTCTTCAGAAAATTCCTAGCTTCATCTTCTGTTAAAGATGCCGTCAGCCATGGCAACACACGCTCAATTAATCTCAAGGGCATTATACACAGGCTTTGGTAGAGAAGTTCTTGTTGTCTTTTAAAGCTGAAGTTCTTGCGTGCAAGGGGTAGCACCTGCAAACATTACGAAGTTAGTTGACATCCTAAATTGGTATCTTGGATCTTCATAGCCTATGGTATCAACTGATCTTAAGCCGAACATTCATAGTTTCACCTGTTTAAAAAATCATATGTCGCAACACTTAACGCAAATGTTCACCTGAATTTCCTCGTTGTGGAAGTGACTTTGAATAGTTTCCATTATTTGATCAGCATGTGAGCACAGCTTGGTGTAGAATTCAGCGGCGGAAGTAGAAGAGGCTCCAGCACTCTTGATATTTTCAATCAAGCATCGAAACTCATTAAACTGATTTTCTTCTTCATCGTGCTCCTCGGAAAATGAAAACTCCCCATCTACAGCTGGAAATATGATCTTGTCCTCTGCAAGACTGCAACGACAAAAGAATATACCACCTAAGAAATAGACTCACGTCCCTCAAATCTCTGTCAGAAGATAAAAATATATATTTATTGATGTCTGTCAAAATTTGACAAAACTCCATTTAGAATGATAACAATCTCAAGCAGAAACGTGCTTAACCATGAGGAGAGCAAATATGAACAACATCCACATAACTTGAAATCAAAACACATCATCAGCAGAAAAACCTGATTAAGTGGCAATCAACATCAATTTTTTTAAAAAGGTTATGTACCTCAATCAATCACAATACAGAACAAGCTCACAAAACATAGCCAAAAGTATTGGCCCAATACACCAATACCAAAATTGAAGATATTATGTTTTCATTGTAAATAAAAGGATGCAAGAAGTACCTGTGGAAGATGCACACTTCAGCAATAAATTGTAAGCGTTCATCAAATGCAGATAAATCAGAAAAGTCTCCAGACAGCTGAATCTTCCTAGCCTCATCAGCTATTTCTTTCATCTCCTTGTTGATTGACTTATGCCACAGTTTTATCTCATCAACTGGGTGCATCTGAGCATCAAAAGAATCATACTTAGTAAGCTCTGGGTACTTTCTCTTCCCAGCCTTGGATCCCTCACATGCGCACTGTTCTCTACTTGTTTTGCAAGGAAGCATGCTGCTAGAAGAATCTAGACAGCACTGGAACGGAGAATCTTCTATGCGACACGAAGCCGCAGTATCGCTCTTCCCTCCCAACCAGGTGAAAATGACCTTCAATAAGGAAACGTATCAATCAACAAGCCAAATTCTTCAACTTTTAAAGTTGGATCTTAATTCAAACTTACCTGCTGAAGGAGCTTCTCGCCTGGAACTATTTTGCTTAAGCATGTCTGCATCTCCTTGCTTTCATCTATTGAAATGGAGGAAGAAAGCCATGGAAGGAACACGGCGAGCATATTCACAGGAATACTGCATAGAAACCGCCAGACTATGTAAGCTTGCTCCTCATACTTGAATTTCTCGATAAGTAGGGGGAACACCTGTCAGCAAGTGGGAAAGAAAACTAATCTTAATAAAGGCCAAGAAGTAATCCTAAATACTGGCTCAGTAATAATAGAAATCAACAGAGAAAACAAGAGCATCCAACAAAACAATACCTGTTTCTGTTCTTTTGCCAAGTGCTGGCTAACAGATGTCTGAAGTGCTCCAGTACAGCTCGCCAACTCCCTTCGGTAACTCTCATCAATTTCCGTGGCTGAATTAAGCAACTCAAACAGATGATCGAAAAGAGAGCTTTCCCCCTTGTGTTCAAGAGAATATGTCTGCGCTACGTTCTTCACACGTATGTCGAGAGCTGAAAAAATTACCTACATCCACAGATAAGAAACCGTCAACAGTTTCTCCTCATAACACAACAATTTACATATGCTGCAATAGATTCCATATCTCCAAAAAAAATTCATAGAATCAATAAGAAGATCAGCAGGAAGAGGCAAACAAAAATAATCTAAACTTACAGGGTAGAGTGCTTTAAGATAAGATCAGGTCAGATTTTAGATAAATTTGCAGCTATATGCAGTATTAGAGTAGTTTGCAAGCATTAGCCAAAGGAAAACTTAACATTGTTTCGTATACAAACTCTATGAGGCAAACAATACTATATTCGGGCAGAAATTCCCCCCAATGGGTCATTTCATTGGTAAAATGTCAAATGTCTTGAACAGTAAGCTCAAAATCCAAGCAGAGACGCTTTCCCAATTGTGATTACCCAGTTTACAGAAAATGAAGATGAAAATTAAAGAGAAGAGGGTCAGGTTTTCGCATTACCTCGTCTTCGGCATTGCAGTGATGCTTGTAGATCGATCTCAGGAACCGGTACCGTTCACGAAGCAGCCGGAGATCGACATGGTGACCAGTAGCAAATTCTAACGCCAATCTATGAAGAGCTTCGAGCTCACTGCAAACTGCCTTATGAAAGAACAAGAAAATCAGGATCGGCGAAATCTCCTCCTCCGAGAACGAATTCGCCACAGGCGAACGCGAAGAAGAAGGCACGGAACTCGTGAGGACCGTAGTGGAGGAAGACGCCACTCCTCCGCCACCTCTCGCCGCCTCAAAATCCGGCAACGGCGTCGCCATTTTCCACCGAGCT